TGGGCGGGACTTGATAATAGGGGGAGTCTAGTAACCATAATGCTGTTCAAGTAAATGTACATTAACGATATCAAAATAAAATTTTAAAAGAAATAAATAAATGGTGGTTATAACATGGTGCAAAGGGCATACAGTTACCTAGCCAAGGGCAGGTCAGGTACAGATGGTGGCTCTGGGCTTGACTCTGCCATCAGGCAGACGCTGCACCTTGCAGGCTATGGGTGAAGTTACTCAGTCAACCGTCCCAGCCCTCGGTTTCATCCCCTGACCACCCTCGGTTTCATCCCCTGACCACCCACAGCTCGTGCAGCCACTGCGGGCTTTCAGGAAGAGCATCCACACAAATGCCAAGAGCACCTGGCAGATGGTGAGCACTCTGTGTACATCTGCCATAATCGCAGACCCAAGGCATCCGAGCAGGGAGGAACCGGGAGGCAGAGCCAGCATGCTGAGGCCTCAGGGAGAAGGACACGAGCGCAGGTCAGCCCACAGAGGCCGGGACTGTCTGCACATGCTCACCACTGGAGCGCTGAACCCTGGAGGAGCGCCTGCGATGGTTGCTGAATGAGCAAATGAACAAACGAATGGAGGCAGGATGCTTAAATATGCGTGGCATATGGGAAAGAGCACTGGTTCCTGGTCAGAAGATTCACCTCAAGTCCCTGTCCCTCCAACTACTGGCAGGACGCACCCCTCGGCTGCGGCCCCCAAGTATGAATGAGGAGTCAGAACAAGACAGCACTAGCTCTTCCAGCCCCGAAGCTGCGGGATCCTACACTGTGTGTGCTCTTGTCCAAGTCTTGCCGCCCTTTATGCAGACTCTGGCTCAGTCACATTGACCGGTCCCCTCATTTATTCGGGACACCCAGCACTGCCTGTCTCCAGCACTTTTCTCCCATTCCCCCTTTCCTTCCCCAGCACTGAGAAAGCACAGGAAACCCTCCAGCTAGATGATGGATGAGGATAAAGGTGCCCCAGGCTCAAATGAGCCCTCCCTCCCCTCCTGTGAAGCCATCACCACCTGACAATGGTGCCTTGTGACCATTAGTGTCTTCGTTTCATGTGTCTGTCTCCCATCTCACAGAAGACTTGGTCTCCATCTATGTCCCAGCACACAGGAGGCCAAGAATCTCTGTAAATATTTCTTCATTTCACTGGATTTAAATGGGAATAACTGCACTCGGTAGAATTTAACTCTGCTTTTATTTCATCAGATTAATTTTATTCAATTTATTGGAAAGGCAGCCATTAGCAAAAAGACCTGGGCTAGAGGAAGCTCACCAGGCAACCTTTACATGTCACTTGACCCAAGGGTTCCTGAAGTAGAACGCACCAGAGGTGAAACACATTATTCCCACTTAAAAAATCAGAGAGAAAGGAAGAAAAGGAAACAGTTCCAAACATCCGGGAGGTATTTTTAGAAATGAATGACTTTTCCATTCACTTTTCTTAACAAAAAAAAAAAGAAAGAAAAAGAAGGAAGGAAAAAAAAAAGATACTAGACAAAGAACAGACCAACAAGTGGCTGCTGAGGATCTAAGCAGAAGACGATCCTTCCAGGAGCCCACCCTTCATGACCCGAAAAGCAAGACACTCCCCCATGTTCAGACAAACATTACCCATAATTTTAAAAAAGAAACACTGAGATATCATTACATGTTTATCATAAAGTTTATACAATCCAGAAATGGACTCTGTGTGGTAAATACAGTAAACCTCCTATTAATTAACACCAAGGACAGGTTCCAAGAAGGTAGCAATGATGTCATCTACCTCTGTTATACGTGGCTCCAGCCTGGCAAATTCCCAAACCATGGATTGTTTTCTCCTCGAGCAATAGCCTACTCAAAGGACTGTTACTATACCGCAGAACTCCTCCATGGGGCACAGGTCAAATCCCATCTCCTGAACAAATGGGTCCCTGAAAGCTTATGTCATGGTATCATTGGGCCTTCCACAATCATCATGAGTATTTACACTCTGCTTTGACCTCAAATGCAACATGGTCCACCATTCTTAGGCTGCTCACGGTTTGCATCCCAGTGTTGTACGATCTCAGCTGAGCTCCTGGAAACAGATCAACACAACCCTGCGGGAAGCACACACACACACAGCCACTGAAGGCACTAAGTTTTTCCAAAGGAGACAAAAATGTTCTTACCATATTGCCCACCTAAATGGTAAATACGTTTCTGTAAAGTGGTCATTGAACTCCAAGTTAACATATGTAGAATATATATGTGCAACTAATATAAACCACGTAAGACTCACCCACGGAAACTACTAGCATAAAAACAGTGAGTTAACCATCTATTTTTTGACAAAGATTTTGGGTATGATTCCCAGAAAACTAACTATGAAAACTGTACACACAGTGCTGATCTGCACAGACTGGGGATTTAAACCTAAGATGGGTTCATAATCAAACTAAAAAACTGTTTTGAAAATACTGAGATTTTTTTCTTTTTTTACACATCTGTAGCCACACCCATAAAGATGTTTTCTTCTACCACCTCTCTGTTGTAACTTGACAAAGTACAGCTACAACAATATACCAACACACTCTAGGATGGCAATACGAAATGCTGTGAAACACAGCATTGAACAGAATTACTATAAAACTCTAGAAGAGATTGTTTACAGCGTTGGTCCCTGGTTACTTGGCGTACAGTAGCATATTTTATGCTGTTACAATTTTTAGTAAGTCATATATGAGATGAAGGTCTAACCTACCACATTCATTTATTCTTCCATAATTTCATTTTCTTCAAGAATCTATTTATTTGCCTTTTTCCTCTCAGTTCTCTATTTGGAAGCTGTTTTGGGGATAGTTCTCATTTCTTCAACACCGTTTTCTGGTCATGTGAATCAAATGAGACTCAAAAAGGGTTTTAATGTCAGATGCACATGGAGAAAATGCTGTGCTCTGACACGGTTTTTTCCATACAGTAAAAATCAATTACAACTTGAAAGGATAGCTGGTCACCTTATAAAAATCGGCAGGGTTCTGTTCTGAAAGAGGAAGAAGAATGACTATTACACCATTTACACCCTCCCGTAGACTCCACTTAAATGTTTGTGGCTTGCTGCAACATTCCATACATATTTCGGGCAAGGTATTATGGGAGCTGAAGTGCAAGCTGTCCCCTGCTGAATTTTCACTCACTATAAAAACATTGTCTCATGAAAGTATACACGTTTTGACTTAACAAAAAAGGTGAAATATCCATTTTCAACTTGAGCTACACTTGTAGCATTTAAGACAGGACTTTTTAAAAATCTAGAAACTTGTAAGTGATGTCTGAAAAGGGTGAGACTGCCATTCAGTAACATAAGCAGGTTTCTGGAAAGAGGAATATAGGAAATGCGTACAAAACACAGGGAAAGGAAGGTGCTACCAGCTGACTTCTGCAGGGTCTGCTCACCTTTGTCCTGGGTCACACCAGTAAAACAGCAATTCTTACATTTGTATCTTTCATCATGAATCCCCACTTCAATGTTACAATTGTTTTATATTGCCTCATAAAATGAGCCTTAGCCTTTCTTAAGCAAAAGAGTATTTTCAATTGGTTCACTTTCCAGTTGTTTGGGTTTTTAACAGATATACAGCATAAAAGGACGTCACATTCCAAGCAGTTTTACCAATTCCAGAACTATTCAAGGCCTGATCAAACAGCTGTGACTCTAGCCTTTGGTTAAAATTATAATATGATCTCACTTGATTTTCAAAATAACCGAGCATTCTTTTTAACCATAAAACTGTGGCAGGATTTATCTAAGTTTCTGAGTCCAGAAGTTTGCAACATTCAGAGTGGAGGTCAGGGGACCAGAATCCTTACTGTTTTTTGCTATTTGAACTCAGGGAAACCTTCAAATAGTAACTGGGCAGCTTCCCTCCTGCAAAGCTATTTCCAAAGGCCAGTGCCATGTAGTGCTGCCTTTCCTGTGCAGGTAGAAGGAAGCAAGCACCATGTCACCAGGCTGGGCCCTTCCAAGTCTTGAAATCACAGGGAAGCCTGCAGTATTTCCTTTTTGGCACTCAGACCCAAAGTGGAGAAGTTACTCTAGAAAGGACAAGATAGCAGATGCCACTGGAAACACTCAATTTCAACACAATTCCCAATCCCACAAAAAATGCATCACTCCAAGAGCAGCTGGACCATAGAAGCCAGCAGACAATGGGTCAAAAGTTATGGAAAGGCGTCATTACTTGAACTTCATTAAATGCAATCTGGTAGAGCTTTCAGAAGAATCCGGTTTTTTATCCACAGGCTTTATTTACATGAATAATAAGACAACTTGCTGCCCTATTCATATATTTCACCAAAAGGAAACCCGAGATTCAACTATTGTTTTTCCTTTCCTCCAAAGACTACGTACGGGTCTAATCACACTCCAGACGGGCCGCAGTACGCAAGGCTATTTCAACCAGAATTTCAACTCGATTTGTAAAGCTCTAAGGGGTAACCATCACAGTTTGAGAACCGACTCTCCCCAGCCTCCAAAGAACTGGGAATTCCTTAAAGCGTCGCGTCTGGCATCGGTCTTTGGACGGAAACTAGGCTGAGTCCGCCAGACACGGAACCCCCGCCACGCAGCCGGGGCGCACGCCAGTGCTCCAAGACGATAGCTCGTCGGGCCCCGGAGGGGCCGAAGCGGTGGGCCACAGAGGCCGGCAGGGCTGGGCGAGGCCGCGGCGGAAAAGGAAAAGAGGACCATCCGTCAGCCCGAGAGGAACTTCCAGGCGCCCAGCTCCCAGGCGCAGGTCCCGGGCGACGTGAGGGAACCAAGTCCGAGCGCCCACCCCGCGGCAGGGGCCGGGAGGAGGCCGGGGCTCCGCACGCCGGGGGCCCAAGGAGGGGAGAGAGGACGCCCCGATCCTCTGCCAGGGCCCCGGGGGGGGCGTCCGGATCTTCGCCCGGACCTGGAGGCGGCCCGGGGTCCTCGACCCTCCCCCTGGGCCCAAGGGCTGGAGCGCCCGGATCCCGGCCCTCCCTTACCGGTCGCGGGGGTCGATCCACGACGTCTGGCGCGTGTTGTGGTCGATGAAGAAGACCCGGCCGTCGTAGTCGCGCGCCTGCTCCCAGCCGGCGGGCAGCGGTAGCTCCGCGCTCTCCCGGGCCCGCGCCGCCGTTGGCGCGGGAGGCGCGGGGGCCGCGGCGGGGGGCGCGGGCGGCGTTGGCGGATCCCGCGAGGGCTGCGTGGGCGGCGGCGGGGCCCGCGGGACCTCGCGCGGCTGCCCCCGCCGCCGCCGCCGCCCGCCGCTCAACCACGGCATGACTGCGCGGGCCCCGCTGCCACCGCCCGGCCGCCCCGCGCGCGCCGCCTCCTCGGCCAGCGCTAAAGTCCGGCGCCCGGGGCGCGGGGGCGGCTGCGGGAAGCCGCCCGCCGCGCCCGGGGCATCCTCCGCCCGGGGTTCGCGCGCCGGCGCTCGCCGACCTGCCCACCCCGCGCGCCGCCGCCCGTCCGCGCCGCCCGGGTCGGATCGCCGGCGCGCGCGCAGTCACAGCCCCGGAGCCGCTGCTGCCGCTGCTACCGGCCCGTCCTCACTCCCCGAAGCGCACCCGGCCATCTTCGCTCCTCCGCGCGGCCCCGGCGGGCGGGGCGGGACGCACGCAGGCCACGCCCCCTGCCCCGCCCCGCCCGCCCCCAAGCGGGCCCCCCTCGCCGCGACTCCCCCGATCGCCCCCCGCCGCTCGGCCTCCAGCCTCCGTCGGAGCGCCCCCGCTCGCCGCCCCTCCATCCCGCTTCCCCAGCCCCGCCTGCTGCCGCGCCTCCTCCTCACCCACCGACGACGCCTTGGGCTCCGCGCTCTCCTCCCTCTTCCCTCCGCCGCTGCCTCCCGCCTCGCCGGGAAGCCGCACGGGGGCCAGGATGGGCGCCGCCGCGTCCCCCCGCCCCCGGGCCGCCGCAAAAAGGAAGGAGGGCCGGAGTCCAACGCCCCACCCGGGCTCCAGGCGCGGCCTGCCGGAGGCTGACTCCTGGGGCCCCAGTGGTTCCCGGGGGAGAGGGCGGTCACCTCACTTCACCCACTCCCAGGCCTTAGATGGATGGCCTCCCCTCTACCCACTCCGGGGGCCGGGGGCTGCGCCCTGCCTGGGTCCCCCGAATACCCAATTGGTCCCGCGAAGGTTGTAAAACCCCGGGGGAAACTCGGGAGCTGGAGGAGGAATCCGAGGCCCGAGCTCTTAGGTGGGGCAGAGAGGACGCACCTGGAAGCGGGGAGCTGAGCAGGTGGCCACTTCGAGCCCCTGCCAGGAGAGCCCCAGAAGGACTGCTCTAGAGTCCTGAGCCGGGCCCCCTGCCCTGCCCTGAGCTCTTCCATTTACCAGTCTGCAGGATCCTCTGAACAAACTTAAGTAGGCCACTGCTGGGCAGGAAACCACGTCAACTCCTAACACACCAAACCTGGATGGTAATTTATGTTCCACTCGCATCTCATAACAGGGAAACTGAAGTCCAAAGTTGGGGCGCTCTCTCACTCCACATTCCCCAGCTGCTTAGTGCTCCAGATCCCTGGCCTCAAGACTTAATGCAGGAACTCCAGGAAAGTATCGGGGAGGTTTTAAAACCCCGTTACAGTGATGCAAAACTATCAAGTAAAACTCTACCAGTGATCCAAATCCAGCTACATGTGAGAAGAGACTTGAGGAAAACCCCAAAAAGCTCACAGTTCGCATTTCTTCAGTGGGATGAATTTTTTTTTTAATTATTAGCCTTCCAAATTGTTGGTAAAATGGTAATACTACTTTTATAAGAGAAAGTTACTTTAAAAAAAAGAACATGGAGGCATTGAGACTGCTAATCGGGGCATATCCAAGGAAAGCCTTTCCTCCCCATCTACACCACAACATAGAAACTTCCTCGCCCCCAAGTATCTGCCCCCACCCGAACGTTCTATGCCATAAATTCCACCAATGAAGTCCTTTTAGTTAAACATGGATGATTATGAAATGTACAAGGGAGAGCGGGAGAGGATCGAAAAAGCAAATACTTTGTGACCTTGCCCATGCCAGGGAATGCCCAGGCCCACCTGTTCTGGCATCTTCCTCTCTGATAGGTGTGATCCATTAACAAGGGGGCTGCCGCCACCTTTCCCCGCTCTTCCTGCCCACCCTGCAGTCACCTTCCCACCCGACCAACCTGGGCTGAATCTGCATTCCCGCCTGCCCAGGCATCCTGTCGTTTCCGAATTTCACAAATCTGGGCACTGTCACTCAAAATTACCCTGAACGGGGCCCCTGGAGTGTGCTGGAGTGACGCCAGCCCCTACAGAGAGAGGTGGAAGAGACCACACACACACCTCAAAAGACGCCTAGAAGAAAAGGCAAGGTGAGAAATGGCCAGGTAAGAAGTAAGGGGTGGGTGGAGCTGCATTCAATCAGGAGCTGAGAGGCAAGCGTTGCCCGGCCTTCCTTCGCTGAGGATCCCAGAGCTCTGTATGCTGCCAGCCCCGCAGCAACGTGTGCTGCAGGCCTTCTGTGCACTTGTGCACAGAACCGTTGGGGTGCTGCACAGAGCAGGATAGAGTCTGCCGACTCCCCACCCCCAAGCTGGGGTCTAAAGAAATGGGCACTTGTGACTGTGACTTATCTACTTATGCAGCCAGGGTGCCAACTTCAAATTGGGAACTCAGTGGATGCTTTGTGAGACCAAAAGGAAGACGTCTTGAATGAGGAAATCGAGGCTCAGGTCTTCAGATTCCTGAGCTCTGAGCCCTAGCCCCTTGGCACGGAGCTGCTGTCATCAAATACTTGTCGATATGCGTAGCGGATGCGGCGCCCCACCCAGATCTCCTCAGCGGGGGCGTGCACCCTTCTTGGAGGATCACCCTTGGCTGGCAGATGTCTGAGAGGTTCTGCCCAACCCCCAGGGACTGAGTAGGCCGTTTGACAGCCCAGCCCCCTTGCCTTGGTGGGACAAACTAGTGCAGCACACTCCTGAGCAACCCATGGGCTGCCAGGGCTTTGCCCGCTCCTCCCCTGCCCCTGCCTGCCTCTCACGCCCCCATCAGTCCCTCCCGCAGGAAACCCCAGCTGGGAAACTGCTTCTAGGGGGCCTGACCTGAGAACTGTGCTTGCTCTCTTCCAAGCACTTAGCAAATAGGAATCAGTTGCTCCTCATAGCAACATATGCAGGCTTTCCTAATTTCCTTTGCACACTGACCGAGGAGACTTCAGAAGGAGTGTGACGTGGCACGCCAGTGGAGACAGATTGGAGACCCTCACTGAAAAAGCTTTATCCTCACGCCCACCCGCAGCCCCTGCGCCTCTCTGACTCAGATAAGTGAAGCAGGCCCATTGCAGCCGCCTTCCTAAAATGAGCCGACTAAAGGAAGAGGCCCGAATGCAGGGTGACCAAGGCCTCTTTACTGCACCCTGAGTCCTTTTTGCCATGTGATGTTTGCTCCAGGTAGCTGCCGATTGTCCCTAGGGTCCTCTTCAGGGAGAGGAGCTGGAAGAGAAGTTGGTAGGAAGGGGAAGGGACTCTTGACTGCCCAGCTCTGCCATAAACTGGGACGTCTTTTGTATGTGTTAATTGTTAGGGAGAATAAGGCCTGTCTTTCTTCCATCAAGTGGGGCTTTCCATGGTGGGCTGGAAAACACACTCACACACAAAACACTGTCTGGAGGGAGTCTTCAGTCTTAGCAGAACGCACAATTCTGCATTCTCTGTTGCCTCCATGTTAAAACCAAAGCCTTGCCCGGCCACAGAAGTGCAAACATTGTCGTGACCTATCCTCTCACCCAGATTTCTGATGGAAAAACAGCTCGCTCGGGAAAAATCCACTTAGGCTCTGGGTAATGGAGATGCAAATACTGGTTCTCCTTCTCACAGACCCTCTGGGAATCCCCTTTCCAAAACTGTTAAAACACAGGCAAGTATATTTTGCTGAATAGTTTCTTTAAAACACTTGTTACAGAGTCAACCCAACACACTTCTTGTGTGCCAGACAAGCAAGTGCTGAGGTTGAAGATTTTTCCTCTCAGTTAGATTCCACCTTCTCTCTCCACCCCCTTCAAAGGATAACCTTTATGTTAAAAAGGAAAGCACAAAATTGCATCTGAACACATCCGGTACTTAAGAAGCTTCTAGAAAGGGGAGCTCTGGGAACGCTGCAATCATCATTTCTAAAATGAGAGAAATAAATACTCCCAAGTAAGTCTTGCTTACTTGTATAAACAACCAAGCATTCTAGGAAGTGACACATTCGGTAATTTTACACATTGTGTGAAGAGGAAGACGGAAATGGGCTGGATGGGGTCCGAAGAAGAAATGGCTCATTGTTTGGCATTCTTTAAATGCTGGAATCATTATTCAGTTATGGGTGCTTCCCAAATATTTAAATAATGCAAATCCACAAACTGAGCAGATTAGAGGTAGTTCTTGCTAATTCCTATCTTGCTGGTTTAGAGACTGCAAAGGGAGAGAGAGATGCCAAGATCCCTCACTGGGGACCTCTGCCCAGGCCCAGAAACTGGAGTGGGAACAGGTGGGGTTATTCTCTGATGCCTTGGTTCATGGCTTTGTGTCTTTAACTTCAGACATTGATTGGACTTGTGATCGAAAAAGCCTCGACTTTGAGTGTGGATGGGGAGCCTGGGAGCACTCTTCTCCAATGGGACTTCCTTGATTTGTGTAGATATGTCCAGTTTTGAGATCAAGGTTTTTCTCATTTTCTAATCTTCCACTCCAAGGAGATGCAGGGTATTCCACAAGAGTCAGCCGTGTGGATAAGCCAGGCAGTCTGTGTTTGATCCATAGTAGTGCTTTATTCTGCTCTGAGTCTGCTTCTCAGCACAAAGCAACGTTCTTGGAATCGGATCATGGCTGTCGGGTTGGAGGCAGACTCCATTTGTACCTGGGTTATTAAAATTCAGATTAAAAACAAAATGTTACACCAATCTCTCTCCCAAACTTAGCACACTCGTAGTCACCCACTCCCTCTCCAAGTCTCCCTCACAAAGCTTTATTTTTGCTTATTTTCCTTCCAAACCATGGGTTATGTTCAGCAAAATGCTAACGAGCCAATTGAAAATGTATTCCAGGCCAGCCATGATTTCAGGGAGACAGAGCTGCTGTATTTGGAAAAACAGGTCCCTAAAGTGCAGACCTCTGCTTTATGAGCCAAGCAGTGCAGCTTGGAAGTCTCAGCCTTACAGAAACAAGGAGGCGGATTTATCCCACTCAGAAATGAACAGTCTCTGGGGTCATTAACGAATTTTTTT